TATTTTATTTATTAAATTTAAATATAAGATTTTATTTAAATAATATTTTCACCCAAGTGTATGATATTATTTTATTTAAATTTTATGTAAATCAAGAAATTTAATGATCAAATAAATTAAAAGTCTAATCTAAATGTCAAATCCCTTGCCATATAAGCATGACATGGTAATGTTTTGCCATCCAAGCAGCCAAACGACTGTGTCCTAAACGACAGTTAAGCCATGCAAGCAAGTCCCAAACGGCAGTTAAGTTGGCGTAAGGAGAGGGGCTTAATTGCTTTGATTGCAGAGTTCAATGGCTTGAATGCATCAATTAAAGTTCAGGGGCTTAACTTATGGTTTTGCCATTTTTTTTAAAGTGGGGCAATTAGTACATATTAGTGGTGCCCGAAAAATAGGAAAAGGATGTCACGGAGTTGGAACATGTAACTAGTGACTGTAGCAAGTAAGTCGGAACATGGGGATCATAAGTGAGGCATCCTAAAAAACAAAGAGAGGGTAAATAGAGTAACAGAAGAATTAGGTAAAATTAATCTGAAATTTTATGTGCAGATTTGGCTTAGAATATCTATAGGGCATTTCAACAACCAGCTGATGGACACCAAAATAAGATAATAGGTGGAAGCTGCTGTACCATTCGATCAAGTATTGATAATTAGTAAAATTCAATCAAGTAGTCACAAAATTAAAAAATCAACAGATCAATAATAAGTATAAATTAGAGATAAATAACTCCATTAAAGGTAAAGTAAAATCAGAGCCACATCTGTAGGAACAGCTGATGGGAACCAAAGAGGAAAAGAAAAATCGATGCCACCCGTGATCAACAAAATAATGCATCCGGTGGTCCCATTTTTTTGGAGGTATTCGTTCCAGTCACATGGGAGAACAGAATAAAACCAATTCATGATCCTGCATGGGAGAACGTTTTTTTGAAAGTAACTACTCAGGACTAGTGGCCTGTATGCATGGTCTATAGTGGGGACACTAAAATTGACAAACTAATCTCTAAAAATATGTGCAGTCTTGACAACACATGAAGTTTGTTTTTTTTTTTGGAGTGTCATCAGAAGTTGGAGTAGTTGGTTGATACGGTAGAAATATGAATTGATAAAGATAGACTAATGACGGTAGATTTTTTGAACTGAAGTTAAAAGACTAATGACAATAGATTGGATAAGCAAATTCCGAAAATGTAAATAACACCATTCACTCTACTCTTTCATGAATTATAATGAGCATGGGTTGATTTTTCACTCCCCCTATCTCTTATTACCATTCTATTAATAATTAATTTATTGAGATTTATGGTACCTTTAATTAATTTTAATTTGTTAATACTCCATCCAACTTTTTAAAAATGCATTTTATATATTTTAACGAGCGAAAAGAAATCTCGATGATTTTTTTTTTGAATAAAGTATAATTTACAAGAATAATTCAAGCACCTATCAAGTAGTCAATAAATTAAAACTTCAAATAAATTAATAACTTTATTAAATTAATCATAAATTACAAGACAATTAATATTTAGGACTAACTTTAACTCAATTAGTAATCTTAATATCTAAAATGTTTGAAAGGAGTCATGTGATTCATTTAATTTCTAGGTGGTAATAATTGCCATTTGGCAATCTATAAGGAATTAATATTTTATTACCTCAAAAAATAAAGTATAATGCTATACAAAATTGTAACAAAGTGTATAACATAAATTATAAAATGTAATATTGTAAGTACATATAAATAAAATAGACTATCATTTTATAATTATATGGATTAAGTATTCTTATATTTGTATTAATAAAATTACCATTGGAAAAAAAGTAATTATAAAATATAGATGAGCTCTTAATATTAAAATTTATATATTCGCTATTTAATTATTTTTATTTTATAGTTAAAATTACAAAATAACTAACCCTTGTCGCGTTGGAAACTTTTCATTCCCAATCTCCCCAAAGCCAAAATCAATTGAATTTAGCCTCTGGAAGTATATTCAAAATTATCCAGCCGTGAAAATTCCTGCTTCCCCCTTGATGTGCTGGCGTGCTATCTCCTCAAATTATATAAAAATTTAGTACATAACATGATTTTTTTATTAGTTCCTCTTTAAATATATAAATAAATATAGAATAAATTTTTAATATAATATAACTAAATAATTAAGTCAAACAAAAAAAATAT